AAAAACCTTGAAGGGTGGAGATCTGAGTGTTGGATTATTTGCTTCATTCTCTTTCCAGGTACCAAAATATAGATGACTGGCTTATAATTCTCTGGATTGCCCTTATTCCCCTTTTTATAGACCGATACTATCTTTGCCCTTTTCCAGTCTTCTGGGATCTTTCCCATTGCCCATGAGTTCTCAGAGATAACCACTAATGGCTCAGAGATCTCTTTAGATAGATTCTGGCCTGCAAGCTCCAATAGATGATGATCATCTGTGGCAAATCTGTTGTGACTTTGAAATACCTCTTCAGCAGCCTGATGTGGACTGCTTCTGAGACCCCAGTCCACCTTTGGGGGCTAAGCATAACTTAAGACCTGGCCCTATGGTTTCTCTTGGAGGCAGAGGCTGCTGAGGGATTTTAATGCTGCCTTCGGCATCTCCGGGGTGCCCCAAACCGAAACTCAAAAGAACCAAGATCCTTCCTAAAGCAGCTTCTCTCCCATCCCAACTAGTGCGGAATTCTCCAGCCAAATGTTATTTCCACCCAACAACCCCCCACCCCCATCTCCAAATCCCCGTGTGATGCTGTGGCACAAGAGGCTAGTGCCCTCCTTGGCCATGTAAACAGGGCCATGGTGAGCAGGATCCAGGGGTGTTTCCTGGGGGATCCTGGGATCCTGCGCCCAGTTCTGGGGTGCGCACTTTAAAAGGGCTGGCGGCAAACTGGAGACGGGGCACGACGGGGCCAGGCAAATGATTGGAGTGCTGGAGAAAACACCTGGCAGGGAGAGACTGAAAGCGCTCGCTCTGTTTGGCTTCTCCACAAGTCGTGGCGAGGTGCCTGTGCTCAGGGCACAAGGACCTTCGCGGGGAGACAAAGCCGGGTGCTGGGGGCTCTTCAATCCAGCAGGGAAAGGCAGAGCGAGATCTAGCGGGGGAAGCTGGAGCCTGATCAAATCCAAAGGGAAAGGAGGCCCCAGTGTGGGACAGGGAGGAGGATTCACCATGGAAACCAGCTCTCCAGAGCAGGAGGGTTTCTCCTTTTCCAGGTGGCATCAGAACCAGCCTGGCTGCCTTACTGGAAGAGGCGTTCGTCAAACACCAGTGACCGGGCTCAGTCCGGGGGAGCTGGGCGAGGTTCTCTGGCTGGTTTCACTCAGGAGGGCACAAACATCTATGGATCCTGGTATCCAGGGGCAGAACAGACCGGGGGGAATCTGCCCTGTGCGGCTGGGAGGCCTCAGCGCTGGCTCTGTCCCAGCCGGGGCAGGAAGGAGGCACCGTTATCCATGGCCACAGCCAACGGCAGGGAGGGAACCAGTGCAGGAAGGAACCCCCCCCCCGATGTGGGCATTTCCTCTTGGGGAATCTCCACCCCTGACACATTACTGCTGGTGAATTTCTTGGTAGCTGGGTACATGACCCTGCACTGCCTGGGTCACCTCTTCCCAGGGTCGCCCCTCTACCACCTGCTCTATATAAACCCCAGGGCTGAGACAGACCCACCAGTCCCAGCCCCTGGATTTGAACCAAGGATGCTGCTGCTG